TATTAAGAAGAGACCTGATTTGGAGCACGTGCAAGTTCGTCATACACGCTCGCACTAGTCATGATCCACGTACAATGCCAAATAAATATGTAATCCGCCACGCTAAGAATTGAAATGAGCCTATAAAATGCACCGGCTCTACAAACCCATGCTAATTATCCCGCCAAGCATCATATCCCTTTTCAAAGACAATAAAATTCGAGCACATCAATCGACATGCAATACCAAGCATAAAAAACCTTATTTTGCACCTAGCCACTCTACAAGCTTAAGTGGGCCCAAGCCACGCAAATGCTCGGGGCTTGCTGAGTGGGTTGTGGAATGGACGGTAATGAGCTTTCATGAGGCCCATTGATGAGCCGAAAAATGGAAGTTTTGGGCTGCTTGGTAGCCCCAAAACTCGAGCCCATTTCTTGAGCCCAAATTTGTGGGTAAGCATAAAGGAGAGAAAAAGGTAGCCTATTACTTTAGAAAATTGGCCCATCACCTTAATAAAAATAGTCCATCATTTTAGGGAGTTGGCCCATTCCCTTAGTAGACTAACCCATCACCTTAGGAAGGCCCAAATAACCAAGAAAAATATATGAAAGTCTCCAACACATGGCTGGAGGCAAAAACCACGACAAAAGCCAAAGGTTTCCCATGTATGTAAACTGTTGGGAGACTCCAGCACGTGGGCAAAGCAAACCTCAAGGCATATCATTCAAAAAACCAGAGGATATTAGCGCGAGCAGGTTGCTAGGAGAAAAGGCATCCTTCAGACCAACGTTGTTGCCTATTTCCTTCCTTTAACAACTCTTGCCATGAAATAAGGGAGGAAAGAAGGAGATGTGATAACCAAAGATAGGAGATTACCACTGGAACGGCTGCAGGAAGACTTCTGAGCTCCCAAAAATCTAGTCTTTGTGTGTTGGACAGAGGAGGATTTCACAAAATGGGGATGAATCAAAGGGAGAGAAGATAAATAAAAGGGGAGACTTGGCAAAATTGGAGAGAACCCATTAGGGTTTCTTGGGAAGGAGGAGCTTCCAGCGGCTATAAAAGGGGGTACCTCCTGCCCATTAAACACAACCACATCTAGGGAGCAAGCATCATCTCTCATCCCTGGAACCCTGCAATTTGGAGCCTTATTCCTCCATCTCCTCCCATTTTTCTCTTTTGGCAAGCCATTCCAGAGCCTGAAGAAGCTTTTGTCAAGCTGCCGGAAAATTACTCAAACCACCCATTGTTCTTCCCTCATCTCTCTCTCTCTCTCTCTCTCTCTCTCTCTCTCTCTCTCTCTTCCTCAATGAATCCTCTTAAAATCCCTTCTCCCCTTACTTTAATCCCTTGTTTCTCATCGGAAATCACAACCCTCTCTCTCTTTAATGCTAAACTCATGAATGCTTAGCTTCTATGCCACAAGCTTCTCAAGCCAAGCCAAATATTTATCTGTAAGCGACTGTTGGTTTTGTTGGTGAAGGTAACCAAGGTGCTTCCTAAGGCTTCACGAACCTTTCGAAGCATTCTTGGAGTCTAATTCTTGAACTCAGACACAGGGGGAAATTTCACCCATTTGCTCTTTAAAGCAGCCCAGGCCTATCTGCAATTGCCGGAACGAAAAAGCCCCTACACTAGACATGGAAGACAATTTTTAGGTCTAATCTCTTTTGTACATATGACAGAGTGGTTGAATATAACCAGTCAACTTGTGACATGTTTGAACAAACTTTGGTTTCTTGACTCCATGTTGTATATCAAGTGGTGCAATGACTTGAGTTGTTGGCTTGACAAACTTACTGGTAGAACTAGACGCCCTAGAATCAAAATGATTATATCCAAGACCACCTTTGTCCCCATGAAGTTTTCCCATATTCAACATTTTGTCAATTGTTGAGGCACCAATGGTCAACGATATAACCTTACCTTTTGCCTCATTCAATTCACTTAAGAGGTGTTTGTTTGAATTCTAGAAACCAATGCTGCTCTCCTTAAGCATATTTACTTGATTTTCAAGATTTCTCCTAATTGACACAAGCTCAACAATTTCATTTTCTAGGGACTCAAATTTGTCACTCAACTTCTTTTTGGTTTCTTTTAAAGTGAGAACTTCATGTTGGAGTTCATGGTTATTGGCCTGAAGTTTGAGATTTTCCTCTTTCAAGGAAAAAGTCTCTTTGAACAACTAGTCATATTTTCTTCCAAAGGACTCGTATGATTGGTCATCTGAATTAGAACCAGATTTATCTGACAACAGTTGCACAGAGGCAACGAAGGCAAGTTTTTGGTCATCAGAAGAAGATGAATCCACTTGAGATACATCACTTTCACTCTCACTCCAGCTTACTTTCATGGCTTTGTCCTTTCCTTTGGAGTATTTTTTTTTGGTTGTTTGCACAATCGGCAGCATAGTGCCCAATGCCTCCATATGTGAAGCATTTGACTAATTTCCTGGAGTCTTTAGTGAAGGGTTTGATATCCTTGTTCCGCTCATTAGACCGATCAGTTGATGGTCTAAATTTTCTCTCACTTCCAGAACTATCATCTGTTGCAAACTTCCCTTTATCCTTGAGAATTCTTCTAAAGTTTTTGAAAAATAAAGCCATCTCATCCTCAAAAGTTGAGGATTTTTCACCATCTTTCAATGAGGTATCATGCACTCTTTGAAGTGCAATTTTTTTTTTTTTAGTGTCATTTTCCTCCATATTCAACTCCATCTCATAGGTTTTCAATTTATCTACAAGCTTGCCAAACTTAATTTCATTTAAGTTATGGACTTCCATGATTGCGGTTTTCTTTGCTCTAAACCGAGAAGGAAGAACACGAAGAATTTTCTAAACAATAAGAAGTTCTTCAATAGGTTGACCAAGACTCATGGTTTCATTCGTGATCATCTCAACTCTCCCATAAAACTCAGAAATAGGCTTAGATTCAAACATCCTAAGTTTTTTAAATTGTGCAAGTACCATTTGAAGTTTTAGTGTTCTAACTTAGTCATCTCCTTTGTGAACAACCCTTAGTTTGTCCCAAGCCTGTTTAGCATGAGGAATGTGTTGTATGTGTGAGAATTGTGTGCTAGACAGGGCTGTAACTAAGCCATTTCTGGCCTTCTTATTGGAATGTGCAGCAAATGACTCAGATTCAGTCCATTTGGAACCTAGGTTTGGGCACGACTTTACCCTCAACAGTCTTGACTGGAGGTAACCACTCTGTTGTGAGATATTCATTTGCATACTCAACAAGAGCATCAAGTAATATCTCAAATTTTTCTCTCCATGCAGCATAATTATTTCCATCAAAGAAAGGGGGGGAGTTACAAGATCTTGCAACTCGTTCCCTTTCCATAGTCAGCACACCTAAACACCAGAAGAAATCCTAGGATCTCTCTATTTGTGTTAAGAGCTGACGCTATGATACCAATTGAAATTGGTACTTAGGTGACGAGGGGTAAATTTAAATGTTATTCAAATAGACACAACAATATTCACACACTTTAAGACTTGACCAAATATAATTATGACTAGTCAACTGCTAGTCATGAAAACCATAACCAAGATCACACACACAGAGCATAACAATCTACACCTGCAAGCCTAGAAGATTAATAGTGCAACCTAGGCACTCAAAAGGGCCCGTCAATCTAGGCATCTCTTGTGCTAGCAACAACTATGGTGAAAGTGTGTGAATACATCATAATCAAATAAATAGCAAATAGCAGATAATGATGACTAGTCAACTACAGGAACAGAAATCTATATGCATGAGCAGTATGCAATGACTAGTCAATTGTCAAGAACACAACCCAGAAAATAACAAAACTGTAAACCAAAAAATTGTTCACCCAGAAACCCACAACTCGAAAACTGGGGTCATCAACTGACTAAAATCACACTAAAATACAATTACTATATTTTAACTTTCAAAAAAGGCTACAAGGGCTAGAGCCCATGGTAGCTTTTAACTTGGTTGCTTCCAGGTAAGGAGGGAAGCAATGTCTTGATTTGAAAGGAATATTCACTCGGAGCTACCTCTTAGTTTGGCGGTATTTCTCTTAATAGTGGAAGATGTCCCCTAATTAAATTCAGTCATCGGCACCGGCAATCACTATATTGAAGTTTTAGAATGTTATGTTAGAAATGCACTGGAGAGGTTAACTTGATGAGCTTTTCCACTGAAAATAAATTACTTAAGCATATGTGGTTTCCTAGTTGATGTATGTTCCTTAATGGTTAAAAGAAAGTTTATTTACTGAAGTGCCCCCTAAAACTATGATCAAATCTCACTTTATCCTCTAAAAGTTAAAATGACCCAAAGTACCCCCTTAATTGATGTTTTAGGTCTCCCTTCACTCCCGCTGCCAAGTCCGTCAAAAAATTCTGTTAAAAACATTGACGTGGCATGAGTGGGACCCATTGTTATACTCAATTATATGGCATGTGTAAAAAAAAAAAAATTCTTTGAAAAAAATTAAGATTAAAAATAAAAATAATAATAATAATCTCAATTCCCTTTTCACCTCCCCTATCCTGAGCGCGCTTACCTCACTGCCCACCTCCACAACCCTTTCCTCTCCGTCTCTCTCCTTCTCGCACCCACCTCCATTGAAAACATGACTCAGACTTTGACAAACTCAAAAGTAATCAAACACAAAAACTAGAAATTTTCTAGAAAACAACAGTTTTCCAACCTGAAAATAATAGAGAACATAAATTCTAAATTCTTTTAGGGTATACTAGTGATTTGCCCCTTGAACTTTTCCCTAACTTTCAATTAACCTACTATCCTTTTTCTAAAAAAAAGTTCCTTTTTTTATAAAAAAAAGTTAAGGATATGAACTTCTTTTTTTCTCCAATTTCCCCCCTCCTTCTAAATCCACAATATTTCATCCAATTTGCCGTGAAAAATGAGTGCAAAATGGTCATTTTGTACATTAAAAATAAATAAATAATGAAAAATAAAATTAAAGGTATACTAGTCGCAAGCACTGCGGGCAGCGGTGCCTAGTTGCGATCAACGACAAATCAAGAGATGTCGAGGGTGGGCTCGTAAACGGTGGGTCGTAGGTGACCATGAGGTTCCATCATCTGCCCCAGAAGTCTTGGAGTGAGGTGGAGAGGTAGGGCTCGTTGAATTGGCCATCAATATGTGATTTTTGATTTTTGGGGACCATTTTGGTGATTTGCAGGTGGGTTTTCTTTGTGTTGTTGGCTATTTTCATTTTGGGTATTTTGGTGTGATTTTGTTGGAGAGGAGTTTTCTTTGAATTGGTTATTTTGATTTGGTAAAGATGGCATTGAATCATTTTGGGTGTTTTTGTGTTTGCCTAATGAATTTGGGGGTGGGTTGTTTTGTTGGATCTTGATGGGAAGGCAAGCAACAGCAACAAAGCGACCAAGAGAGATTGATGGGTCAGAAGACAAAGGTCCTTTACCAAAAGCCAAGAGGAAGAGCTTGAAGTTGGCAAGCCAAGAAATGAAAAACGATGTAACGCCCACAAGATCATGGAGGAGAGAAAGAGAGGAGGGTAGAGAAAGAGACACACAATTGGAAGCAAACAAAGGAGTCTTGTGCAACCTTTGGGGACTAACTTGGCAGTGGCAAAGCAGTAACATAGACAAAGATAGACTGAGAGCCATACCTTGAGGAAGTTGGCTGTGTTGTGATGGGGTTGATGTGCTGGAGGAGATAGAGTTAGGGGAGGGGGGCGATAGGGTTGCAAGTTCCAGTGTCTTCTTCTTCTTTTCTCTTTTTTTTTGGTGGGTTTGTGGTCAATTTTCTTATTTTTCTTCAATTGTTTAAAATAATTTAACTAAAAATTGGATGAAATGTTGAGGATTTAGATGGTATGGGGGAAATTGAAGAAAAAAAAAAGTTGATATCCTTAATTTTCTATATAAAAAAAAACGGATAGGGGGTTAATTGAAAGTTAGGTACAAGTTCAGGAGGCAAACTACTAGTATACCCGTTCTTTAAAGCGACGCCAGAAGTTGATCTTATCCTACAAAATCTCCACCTCATCTCCCTTACAGCAGTGCATGTTGGAATTACCCAACTAAAATTAGTTGCCTCAAAAAACTACACATATAATGGAATTGGGCACAGAGGAAACAAATGATTTGTTGGTGTGTGAGTTGTACTTGGATGGAGAAATCAATTTGGTGGCTCATTAGTAGCAGAATCATTGTGGCACCGAGCCCATTTTGTTTCACAAGGCAGCAGCATGACCCATTTTCCTCTGCACAACCAACGAAATTCAATGGTACCCATCTCAAAATTTTCTATAAAAAATCTCCAATGGTATCCATCTCAACAAAAGTGCAAGCTCAAAAGAGTACCCCTTGAACCGAAACTCACTCTAGTTTCAATAAGAATGAAAGACAAAGGGAATTTTTGGCTATTGAGAACTTGTTCAAGCGCCAGTATCTCCAACTACCACAAAAATACGACATGGCTGCCACGTTCCACCTTAGTTGGATCTGGACTGGGTCGGTTTCAAGTTCAGATTCTCCAAAGCTCCGACACAAACTCCTGATATACACGGGTCGCAGAGGCAGCACATGCGGCGTCAACTACGAGAGGTTGTTGGCTCGAGTTCGATGCCTCTGGATCTAGCAGCGGCAGCACCTAGGGCGTCATGAGGCTGTTGGGTTAGGTTTCGGTGTCGTTGGATGTGACGGGAACTGAGGCCAAGCCCAGTGTGTGCACAACGGGTGGGTCTCCGTTGGGCAAGGGTCCTCACGGGCGTGTTCTCTACCTAGACCCAAGTGGTTGGTGGGGGAGGGGCGGCGAAGCTTCTTAAAGGGTGGGAGAGGAGGAGGTGGGGCATTGATGCTTGCCTCAAGTGGTTGGTGCGAGAGGGAGGGGGTCGTCTAGTACAGGGAAAGAAAGAGGCAGAGAGAGAAGAGAGAGAAGTAATTTTCTATTTTTTTAAAAGAAAATATTTTATTGATATTTTTCACACGGGGCACTTACGTGTCGTGCGATGTCAGCATTTTTAATAGAATTTTTGACGAACTTGACAGCAAGGGGTTAAGTGAGACGCAAAACACCGGTCAAGGGTGTAGTTTTGGGTCACTTTAACTTTCAGTGGGTAAAGTGAGATTTCACCATCGTTTCAGGGCACTACAATAAATAAGCATTAAAAGAATGCAATTCCTGTACATACCATGTCAATCCCACTTGACATATTTGATTTCTGCCTGATTGGGTTACATGGAGCTTTGCAGAAAGTAGCTTCAGAATTTTAGGTAAAACGAATTGTGATAGTATTGTGACAATTAATTACATGAGTATGCTTATTTAGCGTACACGAATAAAATATTCCAAATATATTTAAGCCTTCTTTCGTTCCAAATATATTTAAGCCTTCTTCCGAATATTCCAAAATATTCCAAATATATTTTGAACCTTACAAAGAACGGAATGGAGTCATTGGTTGCTGTGGAAAATAGTACGATTTTGTCTTTCAATTGTTGAAGAACCTTACAAAGAACGGAATGGAGTCATTGGTTGAAGTCAACTTTTTTGTTGTTGTTGGAATAAACATAAATCAAATAAAAATGTTATTTTAACATAGCATATATCTCATACATAATTTCTTATTAATTTAGTTCTCCAGTTCTAAAATTGAAAATGTAGGAGAAACTGTAATTTCAATACATCAGTTTCAAACTTGTGTACTCTTTGCTAAAGCTTAAGGATTCTCGACATCGAGTTTTAACAAAAGAATTGCATTGAAGAATATATCACGGCATGTTTTTTCCTTCAAACAAAAGATCATCGCAACAATCACCTGTTACCATCCCACCATCAAAAATACTCCCGCCAACTTCCCAAGCGCAATTAATGGAGATATGTTTGCATTCAACCAAGGTCTCTGAATTTAATGCCTTTGGGGTTAGAATTGCGATAGAAGGCCCGGGAGAAATTGTAATTTCAACACATTGGTCCCAAACTTGTGTACTCTTTACTAAAGCTCTAGATTTGTTGACAATGGGTTTGGAGGCAAGAACAGAGTTAAAGAATAGATCATGGCAAGTTTTTCCCGCAGACACAAGCTCATAGCAACAACCATATGTTACACTCCCACTTTCGAAAATACTTCCACCAACCTCCCGAGCGCACTTAGTGGAGATATGTTTTTTACATTCATCCATTTTTTTCGATTTTGAAGCCTTTGTGTTTGGAATTGTGATAGAAGATGCGGGGGAGAGTGCAATTCCAACACATCGATTCCAAACTTGTGTACTCTTTGCCAAAGCTTTAGATTTATCAACATTGGGTATAGACGCAAGAGTAGAGTTGAAGAATAAAGCATGACAATTTTTGCCTACAGACACTAGCTTATGGCAACAACCATCTGTTACGGTGCCACCTTCGAAAATACTTCCACCAACTTCCCGAGCGCAGTTAATGGAGATATGTTTTTTACATTCATCCCAGATTTTCAAATTAGATGTCTCGAAAGTTGGAATTGCAAAAGTTGTGAAAATCATTCTTGATGGGCTTGCCAAAAGCAAAATGACCAACATTGGGTACATATTTAGTGCGGCCATAGTGCTTTTTGGTATAAGTTAGTTTTTGTTTTTTGACGGAAAGGCAAAGAATTCTTTGATGGAGTTGAGTTTTAAGAGTTTCTTTATTTATAAGAGTTTGCTATGGTCCGAGTTATTTGGAATATGAAAACGCCTTAATATCTCATAAATACATAAACACCTTAATTCCTCTTGATTTTAAAGACGAGAGTTTCTTCAACTTACTTAAGTTACAATACATTCCCAACTAATAACTGCTTATAATTTAACTTTACTAATTGTACGACATTACTATTGTCCAACGTTTTATACGCTTGGTTAAAACTTTGTTGTCCTAGACAATGTTTTTGTACAACAACATGCACTGTTTAATTAAGTGTTTGTTGTTTTATGATTTCAATAAAATAGTGAAGCCCATTAATCAGAATTACTTTGTGTGATGAAATGGGATCCTTAATTATCTATCCTAATTATTCGTTTGTTAGGAACTTTTTTATTGAGAGGGGCGATAATATACTAAACTCGCACATGCTACATTGATGGTAGGACTCGAACCTAGGACTTTGCATGAGGGAGCAATTGCCACTACATTTGTTGCTAGTGAATAATATTATTGTTCATTTCAAGAAAATTCATTTTAGTAAACCTATTCAATTATAACTAGCTACATTTGTCTCTATACAATGGATTACTTATGTGTAACAACTGTGCAAGTTATGACAACAACATACAACTAATCGAATCAATAAAGATCAATCTCATAAGTTTTAATATCCGAGTTTAGACGGTAAAGATGAAGTGATTTTATTTTATTTCTTTTCTTGTTGGGTATAATGCGAGCTAAACATATGTTGTTTGTTTGGAAGAATGGGGAGCTAAAACAAGTATAGGCTTAATAACCTCTTCTAATCCTCTCAACTACCATCCCAGAAAATGTTGCGAGGAGGAGAGCCTAAAGATCCACATATAAGCCCCAGCTAGCCAACCCGTCAGTCATCATGTAGACGAGTGAAATTTTAAAAATGAAACAATTTGATGGCATGTTTATTTACTTGGAACAGGTATTTGAATTATTTGAATTATTGACTTTATCTACATTTATAAATATATGAGTATCTAAATAATTCCAATTCCCGACTTCCCCCAAGTTTACTAGCACATAAGGAATCAAAAATTATGTTGATTCGACATTTAAATTTCGTAATACAATACCTGAAAAACCGAGAATTATTATGGGGAATAGTTAATCCCATGCTCATTCATTCTCTCCCCTATGCCAAACGTTCCCGATTCAGTCTACTAGGTAACTCGAAATAGTGCACGCAAAGATAGAGAATCGATGGCGGGAAATAATCAGATCACAGAGGCCGAGTTC